TGCTTCAACCCCATGGAAGCAACCACCGTCTTGAAACTAGTTCCCCCATCAGTTATGACTCCGTCCACCTTGAACCCAAACCCCGATAGTTCGTGCATTGCCTGCTCAAAAGCCACCTTCTCCATTGCTGTTGAGGAAATACCGTGCCGATGCTTGTTGATTGTTACACAATGAAGTACCTTGCGTCTCCCTATCCATGAGTGACACTGTTCTCCATTCACCCTCTCACGCCTGTGACCACCTTCCATCCGTGGTTATCCATATTTCTTTATCACCCCTAGCCTTGACTTCCGCTCTCGCTCTCGCCATCGATAACTCACTCTGACGCACAATACTAGCCCAAAGACCATGCGGGCTCTTCATATACGAATAGAATGTTCCCGCCGCAGGGATCGGGATACCGAGGTTGCGTGACACGGACTCTAGAGTCTGGTACCCACAGCCACTTATTACGTATGCTCCCATAACAGTGCGGGTGAGCCACGACATCTTTGGCCCTTTCTTTGATGCCTACATCCGACTCACGATTACAATTCCACCAAACTTCTGTGCGCTTACACCTCAAGCACCTCCATAACAATCCAAATGCCCCCAAAGACCTCTTCCATGACTGTAAGAGCATCGTCCCCCCACACGCTACATCAGCAGTGCATTGAAGAGAGAAGAGCAACATCAACCTTACAAACCATACAGTGTCCAAATAGCACATTGTACCCTTACTAAGGTTAGTAAGGCTCGGTGAAGATGGCCAGCCTTGCGGGACACCGCATCCGAAACCCTGATGACGGGGATCGTCACTGTTGGACATTTGGGGTTCATGGACACATTGATGAATGCGTTAGAAATCTAGCTCCTACCAGCATGTTCAACAACATCTCCGAATAGCAAATAAAAGTTCTGAACGCATATACGTCATTTGCGATAACCATGCCCGTCCATCTCACTTTGTGGCTGCTGTCGTTGGTGGAGCTGAATCGTCCACCATGTTCGTCGCACCTCCCCTGTTTGTCGGCATGTGTCGGCCGCTCCCGACACCCATGCCGGATGTCGCATGTTCTTGATCCTCACCGCCGCTCCCTTCGTTGCTCCCATCGATCTCCGCGACTGCCTCCTCCTGCAACCCCTCCTCAACATCTGCGCTCGTGGTTCCGCCTGCCATATCCTGCTGCGCCATGCCAGAGTAGGGCTCCCGCAACGTGCCGGCACGGGTTGTAATGCGTGGCAGATGCCGTGGGGACTTTGACCGCGCCCTTTGTTGGAATGTCCCGGGCACTGAACATGTGGTTTAGAACGTAGGGGCGACATTTGAAAATGAGATAGAACACACTGAGCATGATGTAACTGTAATACCAGTAACCTACCAAAAAATATACAAGCGGATTAACACATCCTATGATACAATACCCACAATTCCAGTGCATCACTCATAAGAATATTGCCTCTTACCGGACATTTTCAGCGACTGATAGGCTGTTCCACATCTGGCCCCACCCCGTCGAAACTCAGGCACTGGCTCAGCGGCATTCTGCTCCTCCGGCGTTGCGATAAAGCTGTACTCCAAACCACTGATTGGTGTCGAGCGGAGTGAATAAAGCTCCTTCACTATAGGAAATCCTTGACCTCTCTTCTTTACTCGCAGTGATGACGCGTGTGCATCGACACCCGCTTTGAACAAAGACTTGACGCCGTATCCCCTCGCACCTTCACCACATACGCACAAGACATTTCGCAACTTGGTAAACCACATTGACAGTGATGAGCATGTGCTCAGCATAATGGATTTAGGGTGAGATTGTGATGCAAATCTGATTGAGGATTTGAAAGGGATGGCATGTGGGCAGTAGGATGGGATGGGTTGCGATGTGTATGAGCTTGAAGATTATGGAAAAACACGAACAGCTAGGTGAATGACATTGAAACAGATGTGCATCTGGGCAATCGGATGACAAGGATGGGCTGGAAAGACATTAGGATGGGGCAAAAGAGCATGGTTGATTCGTTTGTCATACCTGCAGCAGAGGCTGCATCAACCGAATATCGACAAGAGCGGGAGCGGCTTCGATGAACAAGAATACCATATCACTGTCCCGTGGCACGCAGCCACCTCCCATGAGGCTTGCCAATCCGCAGCGTAGGATGGCCCATGGTGTGGTCAAGTGACAGCTGAGACTGAGTTTCCTTTTGTGCAGCAACTTGTGCAATGCCTTGGACGTCGCAGTCTCCCTGACTTCACCATCCGGCACCAAGGCAGCACGGCCAGTACCCTCGTCGCCACCCTCCCTCTCTGTGCCAGTCATGTGATCTACGCCTGGAAGAAGGGTGAGAAAGGGAAAAGCGATGGAGAAGGAGTGCTATGCTGGTTGCAAGAGACATGGCATGACAAAGATGAGATAGTGACGACAGTCGTGGGTAGCGGGAGCGTTTGATCAGCGGGGTTTGATAAGAAAAGGATGTGAAGAGCACAGGTAATTTGGTATGATTGGGGAGATGAAGGGGGGAGGGATGTGCCGTGCATTGCTAATCATTTGAACGGCTTGAAGGCGCATTCCCGTGAGAGGCAGGTGGGCTGTTTGGTGCTTCTAGAAGACACGCGCGTAGGGCTAGGCTGGTGGTCTATAGACCGTGATGCCTCCCATGGCGTAAGGGGACAGAGCAGGCCTGGAAGGGTGGCTGAGGGAGGAAGCAAGGGTGTGAAGGGGTCATCTGCAGAGCCGGGTGGCTGGTGCCGATGTCGTGATATGTGCGTGAGAGGGCTATGGGCTGCAACGCAGGGGACAATTACATGATGAGAGTAGGGCTGAGGCAAGGAATGGGTCCTGGGACAGGCAAAGGCAGGTGACGCACGCTCACACTGGTGGCTTGCGTGAGACAGAATTGAGGAGAAGCAGGTGGGAAAATGAGCAGGCGTGCGTTTTGAGACGGCAATCTTCCACAAGCCATGATGCAGATTCACACCACTTTCATGCATGGAAAGGACCTGTACAGGACGGGAGATGTGAAAAGGTTATTGGAAGGACGAGGGATTTGGCAAGGTTGTGAAGAGGCTATTTGAGGAGAGTAAGTGTGGGTGCTTAGGTGAACACCAAGCACACTACACACCATACGCCGGGGACACTCACATTAGTACACACAAGCGGTGTCGTCAGAATCAGGACCGTCAGGTACCTTGATGGCTAAGTCAACAGGGGGCCGCAGGCGTGTTTGAAATTGGCGACAAAGAGGAAGGCAAAAAGGGGAGGGACAGAGGGAAGGAAAGATGGGGAGGGACAGAAGGATTGGCAAATCAAGGAGGGACAGAGGGAGGGCAAAATAGGGAGGGACGGAGGGAAGGGAAATGGGGAGGGATAGTGTTGGGGGGGAGGGATGGGGGGAGGAGAGGAGGGGGAGTGAGAGGCGATCCGGCTGTAGACCGTGGTGGCTGGGAGGGACGCAAGGGAACAAAGGAGGAATGTCAGATGAGGAAGCAAGCAAGGGTGTGAAAGGGTTATATGCAGGACACGGGTGGCTAAGCTGATGTGACTGAACTTGATGCCCGAACCCTGGGCGGAGGAAATGGGAGGGGTAGTGGGAAAGGCATGGGGAGGGACAGAGGGTAGGGGAAATGGGAGTGAGAGAGAGAACAGGAGATGGGGAAGGACAGAGGGCAGGGAAAATGGAGAGGGGCAGAGGGAAGGATATATGGGAGTGACAGAGGGAAGTGGCAATGGGAGGGTTACAGAAAAGGGGATTTGGGGAAGGGCAGAGGAAGTGGCAATTGGAAGTGAGAGGGAAGGGGTAACATGGAGTGTATGGGAAACGGAATAAGGGAGTGACAGAGAGAAGGGATAATGTGGAGGGACAGAGTGAAGGGGAATTGTTGCATGACTGAGGGAGGGGAAATGGGGAGGGACAGAGGGTAGGGGAAATGGGGGACAGAGAAAGGGGATGGGGAAAGTGCGAGGGGGAGGGGAAATGGGAGAGTTAGTGGGAAGTGGCAATGGGAGGGACAGGGGGGATGGGAAATCGGAGGGACAGATGGCAGGGGAAAAGGGAGAGACAAAAGGGAAGGAGAAATGGTGGTGTGAAAGAGAAGAGGAGATGGGGAAGCACAAAGGGCCGAGGAAATGGGGGGGGGGGGGGGGCAGAGGGAAGGGGTAATGGGAGGGTTATATAGAAAAGGGGATTTGGTAAAGGACAGAGGAAGTGGCAATCGGGAGTGACGGTGGGAAAACATGAAGTGTATTGGAAAGGGAATCAGGGAGTGACAGAGGGAAGGGGTAATGTGGAGGGGCGGAGGGGAGGGGAAAGGGGAGGGACAGAGGGAAAGGGTGGATGGAGTGTTGGGAATGGGAAATGGGGAGGGACGGAGAGAAGGAGAAATGGGGAGAGACAGAGGGAAGGGGTAACATGCAGTGTTGGGAATGGGGAATGGGGAGCGACAGAGAGAAGGGATATGTGGAGGGACAGAGGAAAGTGGCAATGGGAGGGACAGGGGGGATGGGAAATGGGAGGGACGGAGGGCATGGGAAATGGGAGAGACCAAAGGGAAGGGGAAATTGTGGTGTGAGAAAGAAGAGGAGATGGGGAAGCACAAAGGGGAAGGGGATAAGGGGACTGACAGGACAAGGGGACTTGGGCTGGTACAGGAAGGGAACATGGGGAAGGTCAGAGAAAAGGGGAAATGGGGAGGGACAGGAGGAAGGGGATAAGGGGAGTGACAAGACAAGGGGAAATGCTGAGGGACTGGGGGAAGGGGAAACACGGAGTGGCAGGGGAAAGAGGAAATGGGGAGTGATTGGGACAAGGAGACTTGGGCTGGTACAGGAAGGGAACGTGGGGAAGGTCAGAGAAAAGGGGAAATGGGGAGGGACAAGGGGAAGGGGATAAGGGGAGTGACAGGACAATGGGAAATGCTGAGTGACTGGGGGAAGGGGAAAATGGAGTGACAGAGGGAAGGGGAAATGGGGAGTGACAGGGACAAGGGGTCTTGGGCTGGTATTGGAAGGGAACATTGACCCAGGTCAGAGAAAATGGGTGCCCGAGAGGGACAGGGGAAGGGGATAAGGGAGTGACATGACAAGGGGAAATGCTGAGGGATTAGGGGAAGGGGAAACATGGAGTGACAGGGGACAGGGGATATGGGGAGTGACAGGGACATCGGCGGAGGGAGAAGCGGTGATTTTCCTCTGCCGCGGGGGACACGGGTCGCCACCAAGCGGTGTGACAGGACAAGGGGAAATGCTGAGGGACTGAGGGAAGGGGAAATGGGGAAGGGGCAGAGGGGAGGGGAAATGGGGAAGGGATAAAGGGAAGCGGAAATGGGGAACGGACAGAGGGAAGGGGAAATGGGGAAGGGACCGAGGGAAGGAAAAATTGGGAAGGGACAGAGGGAAGGGGAAATGGGGAAGGGACAGAGGGAAGGGAAATGGGGAGTGACAGGGGCAAGGGGAATTGAATTTGTACAGGAAGGGGAAATGGGGCCGGGTGGCCTGGGGCAGACACATTGGGCATAGGGGGAATGGCTGGGAAAAAGGGCAAGCGAGGGTGTGTGGGACGGCGACCTTGCATGAGCCGCAATGCCGATCAACCCCTCTTTCAAGCATCGAAAGGGTGTGAAGAGGACAGGTGTTGTGGGTGTTGTGTGATGCTATCATCCGCATTCACGTCTGTCTGCCTCCCATCATATGTTCGCGTGTTGCATGCGTGGTGTGAGCGTGTGCAAGAATTTGTGTTTTTGCGCGGTTTGGATTTTCTGAGTGTGTGTGAATGTCATTTGGCTTGAGCAGATATCTGAAGTGATTGCTCTGCTCAAGAGCTTCCCGACGAACCAAGAATCGTCGCGATCGGAGCAATATCAAGAAAGTTACGAACGTTGGAGTTCGTATGCTTTCTGTACTTTGGTTGCGGCGACTATGGGAAGTTGTGGGGCTGATTCTATATGGGGTACAGACTTTTGGGGGTTGGGAATTCGAACCCATCACTGTAGAATGCTGCCATGTGGTTGGGTGAAGCCAAACCAGGTTGGCAAGTGTGGCCAAGTGGGTTGAGGTGGATGGCATGGGTTGGAAAGTGACAAATGTCAAAGTGGGGTTGCCATAGGGAGGGGATTTGATGTGATATGGGGTTTCCTTGGTTGGAGACTCCCTTGGGACCTTCCCTCTCGTCCTCCTCTTCCCTCCCACCTGGTTTAGTGCTACTCTAACTCTTGTGTGTGCATCACTTGTGAACTTGTGAAACTCTTGTGATTGAGTTAAGTTTCTGTGGCAGCATACCCCCTAGTGCGCCGAAAATCATAACTCGAGATTTACTCCACCATTTGATACGATTCAAATTGGGAAAGATAGCCCTGGTTACAGGCTACAACATACTCGAGTTTGAGACGATTCTAACGGTGAACGTTTCGGCGACGACGTTTCTTGTGAAATCGCGGTTTCTGTCCAGAATCCTAAGCCAACGATTTTGAGTTATTTGGGCACCTAATCTTCATAGACTCGATCCTCAATTCTAACAGTGGGAAGGTTGTGAAGAGGAGCGTGATGGGTGTGACGGAATGAGCAAGGTAGGTGGGGTCGCACAGGTGAACACAAGGCACACACCAGGGTACACACCTGAACGGGGACACTCACACCAGCACACACTTGCGGCGTTGGGCTCAAGCCCGTCGGGGGTCTTGGACCCTAAGCCAGGGGGCGTGAATGCACGACTGAAAACGGGAAACGGGGTGGGACATAGGGGAGGGGAATTGCAGAGGGATTAGAGAAAGGAGGAATTAGTGAGGGATAGAGGGATGGGACTGGGGGAAGGGGAAACATGGAGTGACGGAGAAAGGCAAAATGGGGAGTGACAGGGACAAGGGGACTTGGGCTGGTACCGGAAGGGAAAATGGGGTAGGTCAGAGAAAAGGGGAATCACGGAGGGACAGGGGGAAGGGGATTAGGGGAGTGACACAAAGGGAGATGCTGAGGGACTGTGCCGATGTCGTGATATGTGCGTGAGAGGGCTATGGGCTGCGATGCATGGGACAACTACAGGGTAAGAGTAGGGCTGAGGCAAGGAATGGGTCCCGTGACGGGCAAAGGCTGGTGATGCGCAATCACACTGGTGGCTTGGGTGAGACACTCCTGGTCAGAGGCGGAATGGCCCGGAAAGTGGGCAAGCGTGCGTGTTTGAGCGGCTGTTGAAAAAGCGAGTGATTTGGAAGGTTGTGAAGAGGACGAGTGATGGGTGTAGGCTGTTTGAGGAGGTTAAGTGGGGGTGCATAGGTGAACACCAGGCACACTATACACCAGTAGTCGGGGACACTCACACTAGTACACACGAGGGGCGTCGTCAGAATCAGGCCCATCAGGTAGCTTGATGGCTAAGTCAGCGGGGCGCCGCAGGCGTGACTGGAAATGGGGACAGAGGGAAGGCAAAATGAGGAGGGACAGAGGGTTTGGCAAATTGGGGAGGGACAGAGGGAAGGAAAAATGGGGAGGGACGGTGGGAAGGGAAATGGGTAGGGGAAGCTGGGGGGGGGGGGGAGGTGAGGGGGTGGGAGGGAGGGGGGCAGTTTTGGCGATTCAGGCGGCGGTTGGTGGGCAGCGCTGTGAGCAGCATGTGGGCTGGTTGGTGCTACTACTAGTACCCATGCGCGCAGTGAGAGGCTATTGGAATATAGACCGTGATGCCTAGGAGGAGGAATGTCGGATGAGGATGCAAGCAAGGATGCGAGGGGGCCATTTGCAGGGCGGGGTGGCTAAGCTGATGTCGCCGACCTTGATGCCCGAACCCTGGGCGGGTGATATGTGTGTGAGAGGGCTACGGACTGTGATGCCTGGGGCACTCATAGGGGGAGAGTAGGACTGAGGCAGGGACAGGGTTTAGGCCGGGCCAAGGCTGGTGATGCGCACCCGCACAGGTGGCTTGGTTGAGACACAACTGGACTGGAGGGGAATGGCAGGGTAAATGAGCAAGCAAGGTTGTTCTAACGGAATTGGGAGGTACAGAGGGAAGGGGCAAGGGGAGAGACAGAGGGAAGGGGAATCGTGGTAGGACAGAGAGAGGGGGAAATGGGGAGGGACAGAGGAAAGGGGAATTGGGAAGGACAGTGGGAAGGGGCAATGCGAGGGACAGAGGGAAGGAGAATCGTGGAAGGACAGGGAAGGGTAAATGAGAGGGATAGTGGGAAGGGCACGGGGATGCTTGGGAGGGAAGGGTAATTGGGGAGGGACTTAGGGAAGGGGAAATGGGGAGGGACGGAGGGAAGGGATGGATGGAGTGTTGTGGAAAGGGAAATGGGGAGTGTCAGAGGTCCACTGGAGATCCCCGATGATCCTAGGGAAGGGTTACAGGCACGTCGGCCTGGGGGGTTATGGGCGCACTCACCCGCTATATAAACAAGCCCTTTTATCCCAGTGGTTAGTGACTAGGATTCTGACATGGTATCAGAGCGAAGGTCTCGGGTTCGAATCCCGGTGTGTGCACCTCAGGCATCCCAGTGCGGGGGGGTGTCAGAGGTCCACTGGTGATCCCCGATTGATCCTAGGGAAGGGTTACAGGCACGTTGGCCTGGGGGGTTATGGGCGCACTCACCCGCTACTATAACAAGCCCTTTTATCCCAGTGGTTAGTGGCTGGGATTCTGACAGGGAGTGACAGAGTGAAGGCAGGAGGGGAGGGACAGAGGGGAGGGGAAATAAGGAAGGATAGAGGGAAGGGGAAATGAGGAAGGACAGAGGGAGGGGGAATTGGGGAAGAACAGAGGGAGGGAAAATGGGGAGGGACAAAGAAAGGGGAATTGGGAGGGCAGTGGGTAGGGGCAATTAGAGGGACAGAGGGACGGGGAAAGTGGGAGGAGAGGGAAGGGGAAATGGGAGAGACAGGGGGGAGGGGCATGGGGGGGGACAGAGGGAAGGGGAAATGGGGAGGGACAGAGGGAATGGGAAATGGCGAGGGACAGAGGGAAGGGGTAACGTGGAGTGAAAGGAGAGGGAAATGGGGAGTGACAGAGAGAAGGGATGTGGGGAGGGACAAGGGGAAGGGGAAAGGAGGAAGGACAGACTGGGACGGACAGAGGGAAGTGGCCGGTCGAGGGAAAGGGGGGATGGGAAATGGGGAGGGACAGAGGGAAGGGGTAATGGGAGTGACAGAGGGAAGTGGCAATGGGAGGGACTGATGAGAGGGGAAATGTGGAGGGACAGAGGGGCGGAGAAATGGGATTGATGGAAGGAAGGGGAAATGGAAGGGACAGAGGGAAGAGGAAATGGGGAGGGACAGAGGGACGGGGAAATGGGGAGAGACAGAGGGACGGGGAAATGGGGAGGGACAGAGGGACGGGGAAATGGGGAGAGACAAAGGGATGGGGACATGGGAGGGACTGAGGGAAGGGGAATTGGGGAAGGACAGAGGGAGGGGCAATGGGGAGGGACAAAGGGAAGGGGTAACATGGAGTGTATGGGAAAGGGAAACAGGGAGTGACAGAGAGAAGGGGTAACGTGGAGAGACATAGGGGAGGGGAAATGGGGATGGACATAGGGATGGCAAAATCGGGAGGGACAGCGGTGTGTATGGCGCAAAAGGGTGAGGAACAGAGGCACGGCAAAATGGGGAGGGACGAAGGGAAGGGGGACTGAGGGAAGGGGATATGGGGCGGGACGGTAGGACGGGAAAATGGGGAGGGACGGAGGGAGGGCAAGATGTGGAGGTAAGGAGGAAAGAGATGGAAAAAGGGGAACGAGGAGGGACGGAAGCATGGGGAAATGGGGAGTGACGCATGGAAGTGAGTGGGGGAGGGTCAGAGGGATTGGGAATTGGGGAGTGAATGAGAAACGGGGGAATGGGGCGGGATTAAGGGAAGGGGAAACAGAGCGGTGACTGTGTAAAGGGGAAATGGGGAGTGACTGGGAAACGGGGAAATGGGGTGGGTCGTGTTAAACTGTATTATGCTTGTAAGCTGTAGTGGGGTAGCCAATATGGGGTACAACCCCAACTAGGGTTTCATATTTGTACCCAAACTTCTGCTAGTTCATCCATTCTTGCCTAGTGATTCTGATATGGTATTCAGAGCAGGAGGTCCCTAGGACCTACCGACCGTTTTTTTTTAAGGGCCCACCACCGCTCGCATGCGGTTACCACGCTACCCCGTGCCCTAGCCTCGTAGCGCCCTCGTGCGCCCTCGTTAGCGCCCTCGCGCGCCCCTCGTTAGCGCCCTCGCGCGCACCCTCGTTAGCGCCCTCGCGCGCCCCTCGTTAGCGCCCTCGCGCGCCCCTTGCTAGCGCCCTCGCGCGCCCCTCACTAGCGCCCTCGCGCGCCCCTCGCAGTGTCGCCCGCCCGCCGAGCCGCCCGCTCGCAGCCCGCTCGTCCCGCTGCCCGCTTCGCAGCCCGCCCGCCCGCTCGCTGCCCGCTTCGCGGCCCGCCCGCTTCGCAGCCCGCTCGCCCCGCTGCCCGCTTCGCAGCCCGCCCGCCCGCTCGCTGCCCGCTTCGCGGCCCGCCCGCTTCGCAGCCCGCCCGCCCGCTCGCTGCCC